CAGAATCAACTATTTTGTAAAGTAGAACTACATAGTCATAGAATAATCTGTTTCTCTGATGTAAAACTACATAGTCATAGAATCATCCATTTCTGTAATGCAAAACTACATAGTCATAGAATAATCTGTTTCTCTGATGTAAAACTACATAGTCATAAAATCACCTGTTTCTGTAATGTAAAACTACAGTTATAAAGTCACCTGTTTCTGCAATGTAAAACTACAGTTATAAAGTCACCTGTTTCTGTAATTTAAAACTACAGTTATAAAGTCACCTGTTTCTGTAATGTAAAACTACCTAATTATAGAATCATCTGTTTCTGTAATATAAAACTACCTAATCACAGAATTATCTGTTTCTGTAATGTAAAACTACAGTCATAGAATAATGTTTCTGCAATGTAAAACTACCTAATCATAGAATCATCTGTTTTTGTAATGTAAATCTACCTAATCATAGAATTATCTGTTTCTGTAATGTAAAACTAGTCATAGAATCATCTGTTTCTGTAATGTAAAACTGCCTAATCATAGAATCATCTGTTTCTGTAATGTAAAACTACATAGTCATAGAATCATCTGTTTCTGTAATGTAAAACTACATAGTCATAGAATCATCTGTTTCTGTAATGTAAAACTACCTAATCATAGAATCATCTGTTTCTCTAACGTAAAACTACCTAATCATAGAATCATCTGTTTCTGTAATGTAAAACTGCCTAATCATAGAATCATCTGTTTCTGTAATGTAAAACTATATTGTCATAGAATCATCTGTTTCTGTAATGTAAAACTACCTAATCATTTCAGCAAGTTGGGGCATTTTTCACTTTTCACAAGCCAATTATGAACCACAATTAAATTAGTGCAACAGCTGCATGTAATTTAGTGTATGGTGATGTTGTTAATACAAAATCATCAGTCAAATGATTTGTTAATGAACAAGTTCCTACTCTTGACAACTTAAATTAACATTTGAAATTCTTAATACATTTCTAAGCATTTTGATAACTGTTTTTCTTTTAATGCAAAAAATAAACTATTGGAACCTCTGATTCAGACACAATACTTTGAAAACCACAATGGACAATGGTAAAAGAAGAAAATATCAAATTGGAAAACTTTATGGACAATAAAGTAGCAAAGGAAAATATTTACATAATTATAAAAAAACTACTTTTGAGGATTTGAAACTAACAGCAATATTATGAATATACAAGTAGAAAAATGTGTAACAGTTATTATTCTTGAAATGATACCTTTTTCACTAAAAAGCTTGCTGCCAAACTGCTGACACTATTCTCTATATAATAACATGCAATCCTACAATAGTTTCTAAAACAGTCATTCACAAAGTTAAACTTCTTTGTACTGAAGAAATAAAAATCTATCTAACTCCAAGGAGCAATCTTATTTGTTGTCTAAAATAAATAAATCTATTACATTTAACCATCTTACCATTTCTAATATATACTCAACCATCAAAAATTATCTTGACCAAAATTTACCTGATAAACCTAAATCATGATTATTGTTCTGTATGATCAAACAAGCTGAATTATTAATTACTTATTATTTTATAATTATTATTATTATTACTAGGTACTAATTACTAAGTAGTTTGAATCCTGTGTTTTAGCTGCTCATTTGCCGCTATCATCAGAAACGTCCTGAGAAGTAGTATTTGTGACAGCAGAGGTAAGGTTTGATACTGGAACTTGAACCAACTTGAAACTATTCTTCCTAAAACAAGACCCAGGATTGAGTTCTGGCTCTGTCATCAATGCAGTCCTTCTCAGGACTTTCCTGAAAATGGAAGCAGATTACCATTCAAAACATAGGATAAAAAATACCATATTGGTCTGATTATAAGGCAATCCCCACATTTTCAGAAACCATGGGAAAGAAAAAAAGTCAAATATCCTTTTTTTAGGTCTGCAAAATCAGTACTATAACTGAACAGCGTGCAGGTGAATTAGTTGCAAGAATTAGCAATGACCTTGAGCAAACATCTGACACTCATATGTAGATGGATACTATCTGGACATCCAAGAATGTGACAAGCTAGAGTAAGGGGAAGGAGCCTATGGTAGGCCACAATTATAAAACAACCATGAATTTTACAGCCTAATTATTAATCAAAAAATATCAAATTATAATTCGGCCAATACAGTAATTAGTAACTAGGATCTAGTAATAATAATTATAAACAAAAAAATAATGATTAATAATTAAGACTTGGGTGTTTGTATGGGCTACTAATCATGACAAACAAATATACTGAAAAAGTAATCATTCTGCTATAATCAGTGACAAATTAAAGTTTGTAATATATATATATACATAAAGCATGTGAAGTTTTTAAACTTATTAGAAAGCAACCTTGTTGAACATTACATCAGTTCATTACATGTTAAGGGTATACACAAACAAATCAAAAGTGATTAATAAAGATTTGTATAATCCTAATATCTCCCCCCCCCCTTTATATCTAATTATAAATAACAGCAAGACAGATAGAAAAACACTTTAAAAATGAAATGTATGATTTTTCATCATTATCATAACACGTAGGTAGTTAAAAATTTCAACTAAAAGTTGGTGTTATAATGACATAATGTAACATTCCACAACATAATGTTTTACAGTGTAGACTGTGGATTTATTTTCATTTGTTATGTTTAACCTGATAGCTAGTTAATGGTTAAGTAAAGACTAAATATGCAGCTAAGAATATTTGTACGATTTACCTTAGTCTGTACCATGGCAATTCTCTGTCGCCGCATTTCTGAAATAAGCTGGTACAAGCTGAATGACTCACTCAGCTTCTGTAAACAGTAACAACATCTAGTCAATAATAAAACTTCAAAGTGAATGCACACAGTAGTTTATTTATTTAAAGAATAATTAAGTACTATTACAAGAAACAGTAAACCATGAATATCTTGACTTAAATTAATTTCCTTCTAGTTATAATAAGCTAAATTAATTTCCGATTTAAAAAATAGAACAAAATATTGTATTGTTGTATACATTTAATATTGTATGAGACTAAAACGTAGTATAAAGTTCAAATTTTGAAAATGTCTTTAGCTCTTATCAATGTGATTTAACAATTTGACCAAAATCATAAAACTACTGATATAATCACTACAGCCAAACTTAACCAATCCTTAAAAAATGTAGAAGTATAAAAATCTGACTTTCAAACTCAACTACCATATTTTAAAAAGAAGCACCTGTGCCGAGAAACAATGTTTCATTTTTATCTTTTAATATAGAATGACTATCTCTGTGAAACCTCTGCAGAAGAAAAGTTTAGAGAACTGATAAACAAAAACAAATAAGTTGGATCATTCTTTTTTATGAATTTCTTTTAAACTTAAAACCATGTGTTGATCATACAGAAGTTTCCATGTTTTGGTGGCAACTTTATATACAAGAAAATCCGATTTCTTCCTTTAAAAAATGCAAAGAAACTCCCAAAATGTTGTATTGGTGTTGATGAAAAGTCTTCCAAAATCAGGGCTACTTTTGTTCAGAGCCATTCCATTCTCACCTTGATCTGTAGTGTAAGAAAGGTTTTCAACATGTTAATAAGATCTAGGATACTGCCCATTCAATAAACGTTCTTCAACTGTTTCTTATGACTTTCATTGTTTGAGGTCAGTGAATTAACTGAGACAACGAAAGTGGTTACAATGAGAACAACAAAGTGTTTTTTCTCATTCTTACTATTCCTTCTTCTTCACAGTTATCTTGCCTTCTTTTGGTTGTATTATAATATTTTTGGACAACCTCTCTTTCTGATCACACCTTCCATTCTTGCAATTGCAACTGAGACTAAGATAAACATAACTTATTGGAAGTCTCCCAGTGCGTGTTGTCATGTTCAGTACTGAAAAAAGGTCTTGTATGGGTAAATTACTTTGAAAAATGCAATGGACTTAAACAGAATCTTGACACAAACATAAGAAAGAACTAATTTTCAAATATAGATTTCTATGCAAGAGGTGAACCAATGAACACAAAAGTTATATTGTTTGAAAGTTCTAATACTATATCATCAGTGAAAGGTAGTTTTAATGATTTTATCATTTGCTGAATGATCAAAAAGCCACTAATTTCTATAGGATTGATTACTAATCTGGGTCAAAAGACCAATAAAAATTCTAAACTTACCCCCATTCTCATTAGACCCCATACATAGTCAATAGCACATATTGTTCCTGTTCTTCCACAGCCAGCACTAAAATAATAATGGATTGCTTGAGATTTGTACTTTATAATTAACCAACATTATTATTATTATATCAATACTGTATCACTGCTTTAAATTTATTCTTTTAATGATTTTAAAATCAAAATACAGTGCAAATAAATGCTGGAAATTTGGTACATTAATAATCCTTGTATGAAAAATACAGTTAAGCCAAAGTATAAGTAATAAATTCTTAATTCCAACTTTAACTTGGAAGTTTTATTAATTCACAGTTTAAAAGTAGGCCTATGTATAGCTAAGTAAATAAAAACTGTATAATGGACTTTTTTTATGCCTGATGACTGACAGACTTTTTGAAAATAGCAAAGATGATTTAGTTAGAGATATAAAACAATTATATCTTGAAAATCTACAAAATAAAAAAAAATTAAAGAGGTCAACACTTGGAGGCAAATGTAACATGTCTCTACTGTGCAATCCCAATGTGGACAATTTTGACACCAGAGAAATTGTGAAAAACATAGAAGTGAAAACTGTCTATATCACAGCTTGTGACCTGCAAGAAAGTACTTTTGTAACAAATCCGTTTATGTTGGTTGACATACACATGAATAGTTCATGAAACCCCAAAATTGTGCTTTCCTTGCTGAAAAAGTGAGAAAATGACAAAAATTCCAAAACTGTTTAAATCTCTGTTTGGGACAAGTAAAAAAGTGTCTTTATACCAAATTGGCCAAAATACGATGGATTAATTGTAAAAAAAACCCTTAAAATTATGCTTTTTGTGGCATCTTGACCACCCTATAATTAGTAAAAATGGGCGAGCCCAACATTTTTGTTTATCAATGCGTGTGACCTACAGAAAAATATCTTCATACCAAATCCCATGTAAAAAGGTCAAACTACAACAGAATAATTGACCAAAACCCCAAAAATTACACCCTTTTCGTGAGCTCTGACCCCCTAAAAACACTCAAAATGGGCAAATCCAACTTTTTTCTATATCATTATGTTTGGCACATGATAATTTATATTTGTGGCAATTTGCACCTTGACTGCTGTAAATATTACTACAAAGGAGCCCAAAATATACATTTTTTGGGTTGTTTGATATTTGACCACATAAAATATTATCCTGTACCCACAGCAAAGCCTATAAGTGATAGTGACAATTAAAAATATTCAGCATAATTTTAATTGTCCCGTCTCACTGATTACACAGGCCTGTGATGGTTTTATGGTCTTGAAATTTTTACATGTTCTACAGTAATTCCTGTACGCTGAATCCGAAAATGATATCCATTTTTCTCCATCATGTACAAAACACCATATGTACTTTTACTTTTACATATGTGAATCATTTTCACTGAAATTGGGTCACATTTTGTTATGTACTTTTACTTTTACATATGTGAATCATTTTCACTGAAATTGGGTCACATTTTGTTATGCTTAAAATGTTGACAACCATTGACTATAGATTTCTCTAGACTAATGGTGAGGTGAGAGTCTTATCGATCATTCAAGAACCCATGAGAAACACACCATTAGTATATAAATGGTTAACAGGTTGCATGACATGTCACTTTTGGATAATATTTGTTTGTGCGTGCACTTTGACATTATTTTTTTCTTTTCAATATTATTTATTTGTCACTATGCAACAAGAGGTTATGGAAATGACCCAAACACATTCTGTTATATTTGTGGTAAATTTTTTGTAACGAAACAAAGGTAAAACATTATAGAATTCATCAAAAAAGCGTATTACACGTATTTTGGAACAAAACTTGTAGACCAAGACAAATCATGGGCTCCGCACAAAGTTTGCACTGTTTGTGTCGAAAAGTTGAGACAATGGACTAAAGGTAAGAAAAAGTCTTTGCCTTTTGGAATTCCAATGGTCTGGTGTGAGCCTATAAACCACGGAGACGACTGCTATTTTTGCTTATGTAACGTGCAAGGCTACAACATTCAAAATAAAAAGAAAATTTCTTATCCAAACCTTCAATCTGCTATAAGATATGTTGCTCATGAACCTGATGTACCTGTACCTACTCCACTGGAGACTTGATATAGTTTCATCT